ATTCGTACCTATGGGTAGAAAATGAACCTTGAAATGAAAGAGGCAAAATTAGCATACTTCTATTAGCAAGTTTCCCGAAAATGTGCGTCTTCCCGGCATCACTAAGTCCTACCATCAAGAATGTATCCGCTTTGTCTTTCAGAGCTCTGCAAAATCAAAAGCAAATTTTCAAAATGCTTTCGGAAATGTTAAGTGGGAGCAGTGATGATGGAAATTTACCTCAAGAGGAAGAAAGCTATAGTGATTAGCACGACTATGATAGCGCATATCACAGCAACGAAGGTATGATCCATCCCCACCGGTTTGACTTCTACCTCTATACCTTCCCTAGCCATCTGCTCCATTCCTTCCTTAGCCATCTGCTTCACACCTTCCTTCGCCAACTGCTCCATTTTGAAACTAAGAAGGTAAATTGACATACTTACACTTTGATAATTATTGAAATCGCAAGATACAGCATGGTATCAACCAGCTATCGATAACACCAAAGATCATATTTCTTTATTACTTACAATATTGAGCAAAACATAACGAAAATATGTACACTTTTGATCTTCATTGACTATCCTATCAGTTTCCAATGTTGTACATTTGCTTCACTCGTTTCGGTAGATCATTTTTTCCTTTGATTCGACGAGCCTCCTCAAACAGGCAGTTTCGACCCACTACAATATGCATATATGAAAATGATGCAAACCTTCCTCATATCTTTCATTCATATGAGTCACTCCGAATTCAGAAGTGATTAGAAATCATCATCTAACACGCCAAACTTACACCTAGGTAACCTGGCATTATGATAAAAAAAGCTTTTCAAAACAGGGACGTCACTCATGCAACCGGTTTCTAGTGAATGGTAGTTCGCCAAAGGATGCAGGAATCTCAACATTACAATCGGTGCGGCAATGCACAGTTGAGCCTTCCTAGCCTTTGAATTGGGTAGCGTAAGTTTTCGCCATACTTTACCCCCGTAACCGTGTTATTAGCGTTACCAGTACTGCCGTTGTTCATACTAACCATCACTCAAATTATTACCGGTATTCTGCCGGTATTCTGCATCAAATCATTGACCGGTGCACTCTCATCTCATCTAAGCTTGCGATCCCGTAAACCGCATATTACCCTTTCCTTTACATCAAAAAGTAGTACAAAAACAAATCAGTCATCAGCCGCGGGTATCGTCAATCGAAACAGACTGAAAAACCAATTATTCATTCAATCACTACTAGGGGAGGACTGGCCATCGGTAAGAACGTGTAATGAATAATGAACAACGGTAACAGTAGTAAAAAGGTAAAAGCGGTAATGTATGGATAAAACTAAGCTGGCAAATATGACACACACTGATGATGCATCGATGATGCAACTACAGAAAGACATAATAACAAAGAATTATGAAAAAGGAATGACAGTCCAAACTTACATGCTGGGTCGTAAAATATCCCGGCGAACTTTTCCGCGGCTCTTTCACGCACCCATACTCTAGTTGATCCGGTTATTACACTTGCCAACTGAACGATGACGTACCTATGCGAGTTCTTTAAAAAGAGGAAGTTAGGGAGGAGAAGAAAATATTCGCCGGACAACCTACTTTGACTTTGCTCCCATCGGCTTCCAGGCAAAAG